GGATGTGCCAGTGTTTTTATCTTTGTGTGTGCACGTGTATTTATGTATGTGGCTGTGTGTGTATATGCCAGTCTTTGTCAGTGTGTGCATGTGTCCAGATGTGTGCATGTATCAGTGTGCTAATGTGTATGTATATCTGTGAATGTATATTATACATCACGGCAATCAAACACAACATGCAACCACACCCCTGCAAACATTACATACAAACACACCCCTGAATTCAAACTCAAAAAGTACAGGGAGTGCAGAATTATTAGGCAAATGAGTATTTTGACCACATCATCCTCTTTATGCATGTTGTCTTACTCCAAGCTGTATAGGCTCGAAAGCCTACTACCAATTAAGCATATTAGGTGATGTGCATCTCTGTAATGAGAAGGGGTGTGGTCTAATGACATCAACACCCTATATCAGGTGTGCATAATTATTAGGCAACTTCCTTTCCTTTGGCAAAATGGGTCAAAAGAAGGACTTGACAGGCTCAGAAAAGTCAAAAATAGTGAGATATCTTGCAGAGGGATGCAGCACTCTTAAAATTGCAAAGCTTCTGAAGCGTGATCATCGAACAATCAAGCGTTTCATTCAAAATAGTCAACAGGGTCGCAAGAAGCGTGTGGAAAAACCAAGGCGCAAAATAACTGCCCATGAACTGAGAAAAGTCAAGCGTGCAGCTGCCACGATGCCACTTGCCACCAGTTTGGCCATATTTCAGAGCTGCAACATCACTGGAGTGCCCAAAAGCACAAGGTGTGCAATACTCAGAGACATGGCCAAGGTAAGAAAGGCTGAAAGACGACCACCACTGAACAAGACACACAAGCTGAAACGTCAAGACTGGGCCAAGAAATATCTCAAGACTGATTTTTCTAAGGTTTTATGGACTGATGAAATGAGAGTGAGTCTTGATGGGCCAGATGGATGGGCCCGTGGCTGGATTGGTAAAGGGCAGAGAGCTCCAGTCCGACTCAGACGCCAGCAAGGTGGAGGTGGAGTACTGGTTTGGGCTGGTATCATCAAAGATGAGCTTGTGGGGCCTTTTCGGGTTGAGGATGGAGTCAAGCTCAACTCCCAGTCCTACTGCCAGTTCCTGGAAGACACCTTCTTCAAGCAGTGGTACAGGAAGAAGTCTGCATCCTTCAAGAAAAACATGATTTTCATGCAGGACAATGCTCCATCACACGCGTCCAAGTACTCCACAGCGTGGCTGGCAAGAAAGGGTATAAAAGAAGAAAATCTAATGACATGGCCTCCTTGTTCACCTGATCTGAACCCCATTGAGAACCTGTGGTCCATCATCAAATGTGAGATTTACAAGGAGGGAAAACAGTACACCTCTCTGAACAGTGTCTGGGAGGCTGTGGTTGCTGCTGCACGCAATGTTGATGGTGAACAGATCAAAACACTGACAGAATCCATGGATGGCAGGCTTTTGAGTGTCCTTGCAAAGAAAGGTGGCTATATTGGTCACTGATTTGTTTTTGTTTTGTTTTTGAATGTCAGAAATGTATATTTGTGAATGTTGAGATGTTATATTGGTTTCACTGGTAATAATAAATAATTGAAATGGGTATATATTTGTTTTTTGTTAAGTTGCCTAATAATTATGCACAGTAATAGTCACCTGCACACACAGATATCCCCCTAACATAGCTATAACTAAAAACAAACTAAAAACTACTTCCAAAAATATTCAGCTTTGATATTAATGAGTTTTTTGGGTTCATTGAGAACATGGTTGTTGTTCAATAATAAAATTAATCCTCAAAAATACAACTTGCCTAATAATTCTGCACTCCCTGTATATAGAAACACATCCCTACACTTAAACACCAATACTACACCCTACATGCACACACATACTGTATACAACAACATGCTCACATTCAAATGCACAAACACCGCTCACAAATACAGCCCTGCAAAAATGGACAAATGGTAGATCCCCAGCTGGCATAGCATCGTTGGAATTGTACAACAGATGAGGATCTATCTTTTCTCTGCTCTTGCACTAGAGGGGAGGCTCAAAACAATCTTGCACCAGGTCCCTGTCTACATTAGTTCTGCCACTGTGTTGGGGTGGAGGGCGTGATTGCATGCCAGAGAGTGAAAGTGTGGGGGGAGCGCGAGGGATGGCAGGATCTAGGGGGCCCAAACAAATGCCTGCCCAGTGTCCAATCAATGTTAAAGACGGCCCTGCCTCCATTAAAAGATGCTCGTAGCGTTTCCTGAGGACTCCAAGCACTCTGGCAGACACCACAATCACCGAACCGGAGAAGAGTATACCTTCTCTCAAGCATATGAATGCTATAAACAGCTGAATAGGCAAAAACCATACGGATGGGTTTAGACTCCTAGCAGTCAAACTGGAACAGCATACAATAAATCCTTCCCCAATAATGAGACGACACTTCACTTTGAGGGTTAAGCAGGAACTGCAGGTTTATTCACACAACCTCCTTTTAAGACATTCTCCCATGCAAGAGAGGGATCCACAACAATTAGTACCCCAGCCAATAATGTACCAGTTACCTCCCACACATCTCCTCTCCTTAGTGTGACACATAATCCCATTAGTACAGACACAAATTCCCTGGGTTACTGGATGTACCCCTAAACATAGGGTTACCCCTTTAAATGTTACATCATCTGGTAGCCCTGATCTGGGTGAGACACATATCCAAAAATCACCCAGATCGAACCAGGGGTTCGGGAATTATGGAGGGTTAAAGTTTTGACCGACTGCATGGCAAAAGTATCCGAAAATAGTTCCATGTATTTTGGCCCTGCAGTCGGTCACAGAAAAGGGAATGAAAACACACAAATTGCCTGGGTTATAGAGCCTGGGGAGGGTTTAAACGAATTCCCTTATTCGTGGTGTTCTTTCTACCGAACGGGGGGTCATTCGGTTGTTTCCACACAAGTTCATGGAACTCTGGAGGTCTCAGCGTTGTTTGCCTAGTCGAGTGTCCGATTTTAGTTCCAGACACTCGATGGCAAAACAGCGCTGTTCGGGAATTTAAGATGGCCACCGCCACGTGTTCGTTTCCCGAATGGTGGCCACCCAAAGGACAAAACCACACATTACATCGATTGCCAATTACCCGTTTGCAACATTGTTGCAAACAGTAATTGGAGGCACACTTCTTCCTGGGTGGTCTGGTTGTTCGGTAGTTTCACTCAATATAATGAATGAAGTGATTCTACCGAACAATCAGGGGAATGCTGCATACACATATACGATTTAGCCGAACACACAGAAACATACATAATATAAAAGACATCCTTACTGTAATCTGCTACCAAGTTTCAAAGGGGTATTGTTCCTAAAAGTCATAATATGACCCCGGATGGCCCTTAAAGGGCCAGTAGCAGCAATATAATATATCACATGCCCAAATATTGCATTAAAAGTACAAATTTACCAGGGGCCATAGTCAGCAGGTAGGAGGCGGGCAGCCAGGCCTCTCCAAGGTCCAGTGGCGAGGCGGGTTCCGCCACACAGACGAAACACAGTTCTGAGAGTCAACTGTAGGCTTTAATCACAGGCTCCACAATTTATACAATTCCCCATGCAAGGGGTTTCCTGAGTCCTATCCCAGGGGTATTCCAGGGGTGGACTACGTGGGGAACTTACAGTACAGAGCATTTCTCCCGTCAGGCACTGCTGCACGAGAGGGATCCTCCCACTGGAATGTACCGTTAAGTGGATTATCCCTCCGTGCAGCAGAACCCGCAATTTATATTAAAATATACAACTTTTCGAATATTAGGTCTATTTGCACGAATGGACTTTCGGTAGATAGCTGGGGTCTGAGCGCATCATTCGTGAGACTACCGCTCAGATCCCAGCTAAAACAACCGAACGCCGCACGGAAAACATATTCACCAAAACATGCATTTAAAAGACCGATTGACATACGGGGAATAAAATACCGAACGACCCGGAATTCCTGAACGGCCTGGAAGTCCAGCGGTGTTCGCGCCGTCGAGTAGCCGTTTTTAGTACCACGCGCTCGACGACCAAACACCGCTGGAGGAACAAAGGATCCAAGATGGCCGACCGCCGCATGGTCGGTAGTCGAATGACGGCCACCTAGGAGAGCCTCTAATTACCGATTGCAACATTGTTGCAATCAGTTAATGAGCTCCACACGTCTCTCAATGTGTGGGCTATACATGTGGGTCTTATTCGGTTCACGAACGGCCCGCAAAGGCGCTGTTCGTGAAACAAAAGGAAATCAGCTATCTGCTTTCGGCAGATAGCCAATGCAAGTAATACAATGTTAGGCAATCACAGTCTATACACACAGAAACATACGCATCCTCAAAACAGCACAGGCAACCCTTAAAGCTATAGTCTTTAAATAATGTCCAAGTGGCTAGGTTTGCCACAAGGATGTTAACAGAAAGTGTTGAATACCTATTAAATACAGTTTAGCGGTATTGTATGTTTATTTTAAATGGCAACATGTTTAAAAGTGACAATAGATTAAATCCAAAATACATGTATTACTTTAAATTGTGAAACAAACTTCATAAACCAATCGTATGCTCTGTGGTATACTCTTGTCTCAACTCCCCTTTTTAATCTTTAGATTGTAAGCTCATGTGCAGGGCCCTCTTAACATTTTATTTTTTTTAGTTCGTATATATTGTGCTGTCTTTTTCTTTCTCGGTACAGAACTGTGGAATACGTGTTTTATAAATGCCAGTAGTAATAATAATAATAATAATAATAACGTATTGTAGTGATAGTATTGTGCGATGTTACCCATAGGTGTTCCGATGTCCCTGTATTTGTAATTATGTTGCTTGCATTGTTTTATTTAAATTGGTTTTAGGCTACAGAAAATGAGAATCAATTTGATAACAACAGACAATAGACAAGCTTTTTTCTACTGTAAATACCACTAACGAGCCACTAGGGGGTGCCAGTGCTGTATTAGTATTGTTAATTTATTGAAAGAATTGGAGTATCCATTTCCATCATGGCAGCAGGTCATCCTAAGACAGAGCAGAAAGAAAAGCTACTACGCTAAAATTAAACTGCTTCCAGTGCTCCCAGTGCCCACCAAAGTATGTGAGCAAAAAAAAGAAGGATTTTTTTTTCTTTTTCCTTTTGTGTGTGTGCGTATTGTAGGCTATGCATTGTGAGTATGTAGATAACAGCACTATCACTGTGATTATTTAGTAACAACATTGTATTATTTTTGTATCATGATATATTCACAATGCTCTTATAACAGATTATTTAAATACACTTTAGCTTACTTAGCACTAGTACTATTTAATTTGTCTCCCGTCTTGGAATTAGTGTGGGACCCACCGATATTGGTATACTGTGAAGTAGTGGCGAGCTTAACACAATATGACCATATGGTGGATCTGAATCCCCATATTTGTTTGCTGTGATAGGTGAATTTAAGTAGCTTTGTAAAATGTAAAACTGTATTTGTGTGTCTGTGCTGTTCCTTAATCTGTGTCATGTATAAATTTTGATTTCTACAACAGCACAACTGCTGAGAAGTGCATATTCCAGGTTTGTGTGTGTATGTGTGTGTGTTTATGTGTTATGCAGTTTGTGTGTGTATTTATGCATTAGGCTGTGTGTGTGTGTGTGTGTGTGTGTGTGTGTGTGAATTTATGCATTACAATGTGTGTGTGTGTGTGTGTGTTTATGCGTTATGCAGTTTGTGTATTTATGCATTAGGCTGTGTGTGTATGTGTGTTCATGCGTTATGCAGTTTCTTTGTGTATTTATGCATTACGCTGTGTGTGTGTGTTTATGCGTTATGCAGTTTGTTTGTGTATTTATGCATTAGGCTGTATGTGTGTGTGTTTATGCGTTATGCAGTTTGTGTGTGTGTATTTATGCATTAGGCTGTGTGTGTGTGTGTGTGTGTGTGTGTGTTTATGCATTATGCAGTTTGTGTGTGTATTTATGCATTAGGCTGTGTGTGTGTGGTGTGTATGTGTATGTGTTTATGCAGTATGCTGTTTGTGTGTATATATTAAAACCCATAATCAGTAGGCAAAAAGTGTGCAATTAATTATTATAGCCACTTTGATTCTCCAAACACACAATAACGTGCTAATGCTTACTGTAATACCAAAAATAACCAAACTTTTTTTTTAAATAACCTGTAATTTCATAGTTGCCAGCTGTCCCGTCAGCGTGTGTGTATAAAGTAGCCTGTGTGTATTCAGCAGTCTATCTGTGTGTGTTCAGCAGTGTGTGTATTCAGCTGTCTTTGTGCGTGTATTCAGCAGTCTGTGTGTGTATTCAGCAGCCTGTATGTATTCAGCAGTCTGCGTAGGTATTCAGCATTCTGTGTGTATTCAGCAGTCTGTGTGTGTTCAGCAGTGTGTGTATTCAGCTGTCTGTATGTATTCAGCAGTCTGTGTGTGTGTATTCAGCAGCCTGCATGTATTCAGCAGTCTGCGTAGGTATTCAGCATTCTGTGTGTATTCAGCAGTCTGTGTGTGTTCAGCAGTGTGTGTATTCAGCTGTCTGTATGTATTCAGCAGTCTGTGTGTGTGTATTCAGCAGCCTGCATGTATTCAGCAGTCTGCGTAGGTATTCAGCATTCTGTGTGTATTCAGCAGTCTGTGTGTGTTCAGCAGTGTGTGTATTCAGCTGTCTGTATGTATTCAGCAGTCTGTGTGTGTGTATTCAGCAGCCTGTATGTATTCAGCAGTCTGTGTGTGTGTATTCAGCAGTCTGCGTAGGTATTCAGCATTCTGTGTGTATTCAGCAGTCTATGAGTGTGTGAATTCAGCAGTCTCTGTGTGTGTGTGTGTGTGTATTGTATGTATGCACTCTGTATGTGGCAATTCCGCAGCCTGTGTATATTCAGCAGTCTGTCTGTGTGTACTTTTTTCAAATGTTGGCTATGTGATCACCCTAAAAAAATAATTATTCAAAAATAGTGCAAATCAATTTGTAATAACAAGGACATTTAGCATAACTCCAAATCAAAAGTGGTATAAATGCCACTTTAGCTGTTAGGGAGGATCAATTCCTGAGTATACGTTGTATCCAAACTTCCATAAATCATAGTATGCCGTGAGAAAACCAGCGCTCTGGATATCAGGTAAAAAAAAGCTTTAACTGAAGAGAATCTCCAAAAATGTAAATACTAAAAATGAAATATCAGACACAGAGAATAGAAGGTTTATTCAGACGAAAATAAAAAAAACGAAATTGCAAAATTGAGGTCAAAATAGTTGATCTGAATTTTTTTTTAACTTAGCACAGTTCACAGCTAAGTTATTTTAGGTGTTTAGGGAATGTACTTCTATCAGAATAGTATCTCATGAGGCACCAGCACAATGTATATTTGACTACGGTGGCAGAAATCCTTGCACTGACCCTGTAGATAAGTCCTCTCTACACCATCACTATCACTTCGCATGAATGACCTGCTCTCACTTTTAGCTCTGAGAGTGTCTTAGAATTGCGGTGATTTATAGACATTGTTGCAGCTGTAGACCAGCCCCTCAGAGCTGTCAATCAGGCTGCCGGAATGTTCAATTTTGTCCTAGATGTGCACGCAGTTTAAATACATTGACTACTGTGTGTACTTCCATTGTAGCATATTCTCACAAACCTAGACCTCCGAGGATACTGAGGGCAGCCTGAGAATATAATCCAGTCACCACTTGACCACCACAGCAAAGCGAATAAGTGAGCTGACCACGGAGGAGGACAATGATGACACTGGGAGAGGAAGTTCACTGACACTCTCAGCCAATGAGCTAGCTCTGCATTGCAGCACTTTGCTTAGTTAACCTAGCAAAAGCTTCTGTTCTCCTCCGGAAGTAGTGGAGGTGGGGAATGTCACCCCGTAGACTGCAGGTAAAAAGGCAAACCACATTAAAGAAGTTTGACTATTTATAATGGGGGCACCAGGGCAATCCTAACACCATAACCACTACAGCACACTGCACTGCCATTTTTTTTTGAGGAATTTTCTCTGGTGTTCCGCCAAGCCTGATAACAGTAACAAATTCTCAGGATCGGGGAGACTGGAGTCTCTAACAGTGACTGCCGCACCTGGGGTCTCCAACCGAAACAGTCGGTGGTATGTTCCTCAGCTTCTTTTTGTACTGGATTCAAATAACTTCCAAAAGTTCAGCTGTACGTATCACAACCTGTTAATGCTCTTCCATTTGGATCCTGTGCATTTTATTCTCATCGTCGTCCCACAGGAGACAGAAAATTCTATATATTTCAGACTGATTTCCTTGTAAATGAAAGTGCCACTGTTGATCCCTGCTAACGAACAGATAAGGAACACGAAACACAATTAGGGTTATTTTCCTGTTAAGGAAATTAATGAAACAGGGCACCCATTCATGAATTTGTGGCAGGATGTGATTCCAATGCTAGTGGAACCGTCTTGTATTTTTGTATTCTGTGTCATTCAGCAAACAGGAAGTCTGGGGTGGCAGGATCTGAACCAGAAGGGATTTAATCATTTGGTAGGAAATCACTTTGTCGAAATGGGAATTCAAAGAGCCTTAGAACATTGTTGGGTGTCTACAAGCCTGTCTGCTGGTCCTAGCTTTACATTTATAAAGCAATTTCAGACACTCTGGTTCTTCTGGAAACTACATCTCCCAAAATCCTTTGCCATTGCCAACCTAGTCTCACTGCAGTTTGAAATCAATGGATAACTTTTGTTTTATAGGGTTCTTAAGCTGCACAAGGTATCTTGTCTCCATTTCCTTCTGGAAGTCCTCCTAAGTTTGTGGACAATGCCTTTACAACTGCAACTGGGACTTTCCTGCCTTCGAAGCGTCCACTTTTGAACAAAACAAACCAAGAACGCTTTGGCTCAGAACAGGTTTTGGTGCCCACAGAATAATAACACCATATCATCTACAACAGCATATAGTGGTTATGGTGCTTAGAAACATCGAATGTGACGGCAGATAAGAACCGTTTGGCCCATCTAATCTTAGACAGCCTATTAAATAAATACTTATAAGAACATACAAAAAATAAATAAATAATTTTCAGTTAATACATGATTTTGTCTTACTGATACTGTTATGGGGATATTATAACCACTACTAAATAGCTTAGCATTATCATTAAAAATAAAAACCACAGATTATTATCCCAATAAAAATTACTCAAAATATCCATATTCATAGAAACTTTAAAAAAAACAAAAAACATTCTCAGATGTTTATTGGTTTTAGAAAAATAAATCTTTTCCTGTATTATAGTTACCTCAATAATTCTTAAGTCATTATTTAGAAACAAAATCTCATTATTCCTGCCTCGTAAATCCATCATTGTTATGTACGTCAGCCAGCACGTGTTCATTAAGAAAACGTTGGCAATCTGTACTGCATTATGTCTTTCATTTTTAGAAATCTGTTTATATCTTTGAAAAGTTAAATTCTGTCAAAGTAAGATTTAAAAATTCTGACAATATTAACTTCTTAAGTTAAGCTAAATACCCAAGTGCCACTCCGATTTAGATGAAAAGTTCTATAAACAGTTCCAGAATCCAATTAACAAGGATAAAAGCATCCCAAAGTCAGTCAGTTTGAAACTGAATTTCTGCCAATTCTTGGGTTTGATCAAAATGCCAAATATGTTTCTATTAATAAAACTCTGCAGACATTTATTTATTTTCTTCTAACCGTGTGGGATGTAGTCACATGCTAGACCTGCCTTTTAAAAATTACTCAGCGTAACTAAATATATACACGTGTGCCAATTATTTGTAAAAAGTCAGCACAGGGAACTATCACAGTCTTTATATAATTATCGATCCGGTAACAGCTGTCAATGAGTTGTGAATGGTGCGACATGATCACTTTATTACCATTTTGATACTTTTTTACAACACCTTTACAATTATCGGTTTGGTAAAAAAACTGTCATATCCCTTACGTTAAAGGGACACTCCATGCTATATTGCTTAAATATAAAAATAATACAAATCACTGTTTAAAAGATAAACCCCAAATGAAAACTTGCATGTGTTTAATTATGCATTTTTTCATAGGTGGTATATAGAAAAACAGCTTGCAAAACCTGCAAGCCCTCTTTCTGGGGCTGTCCAATCACAGACTTCCCAATGCAGCTCAATGAGACGTCTTTGCAAGGCAGGTGCTCTGGGCATTTGCTGCCTCATGAGCTTAGCTTCACTGAGCTAACCAATCCAGGAAGTAACAGGACTGGGTGTCTGATTGACAGCCAGGGGGGCAGTAACCAGTTAAATTTATAAAAGAGTCGATTTCTTTTGAAATCTGCAGTTCTTCCAAAATGAAAGAAGAGGACACGCTCTTCACAAATTTCAGCAAGCTAACGTGCTTTAGGGGTCTGGAGTGTCACTTCAAACAGAAAGAAATGTTGTAAACAATCTTTCCAAAGAAAATGTATTGAATTCAATCATTACAACTATTTTATAAACCACAGAAAACCTTTTCAAACTGTTAACAAATACCCCAAACACTCCCCAAGTGTTTGTGTATGAGCAGAACAGAGTTGATGACTCAACAATGTTGGGTTGATGACATCCACAACAGTAAACCACTTCTCATTAAACACATTTAAAAAATAAACATGACGTAGAGACATAGTGATTTTGTAGAGAACGATGGGATTTCCATAGGTCTTGTGAACTATGACACGGGTGATAATATTCAAGAATTCCTTGAGAAGAACATGGTTATCAGCAAAAATCAGCACGGTTTTATGAAGCACAGGTCATGTCAAACTAATTTGATTGCGTTCTACGAAGAAGTAGGTAGATGTATAGATCAGGGTGTTGCAGTGGATGTGATCTACTTGGATTTTGCCAAGGCATTTGATACAGTTCCACACAATAGATTAGTGTTCAAACTCAAGGAAATCGGTCTAGAATAGATGAAAATGCTTGTTCTTGGGTAGAACATTGGCTTAAAAACAGAGTACAAAGAGTTGTCATTAATGGTAAATTTTCAAGCTGGACAGAGGTGGCAAGTGGTGTCCCTCAGGGGTCTGTTCTGGGACTCGTTCGATTTAACATGTTTATAAATGATCTTGAAGACAGCATTGAAAGTCATGTTTCAATGTTTGCAGATGACACAAAACTCTGTAAAATAATACAATGTGAGCAAGATATTACTTTGCTGCAGAGGGATTTAGATAGACTGGGGGAATAGGCACTCAAATAGCAGATTAAATTTTATGTTGAAAAATGCAGAGTTATGCACTTCGGCGTAAAGAATACACAAGCAATGTATACCCTTAATGGAAGCGAATTAGGGATAACAACACATGAAAAGGACTTGGGAATTGTTATAGACAACAAACTATGCAACAATGTGAAATGTCAATCAGCAGTGGCCAAGGCCAGTAAGGTATTGTCATGCATGAAAAAGGGCATTCATTCTCGGGACGAGAATATCATTTTGCCTCTTTATAAATCACTGGTAAGATCGCATATTGAATATGCTGTGCAATTTTGGGCACATGTTCTAAAGAAGGATATTATGGCACTAGAAAAAGTGCAGAGGCCGGCTACAAAATTAATAAATTCCATTGTGTGGAAATCTATTCACAAACTGGACTTTACATAGGACACAAGGTCATGCGTTTAGACTGGAAGAAAGAAGATTTCGTCTGAGGCAAAGGAAAGGTTTTTTACTGTAAGAACAATAAGGATGTGGAATTCTCTGCCTGAAGAAGTGGTTTTATCAGAGTCCATACAGATGTTCAAACAGCTACTAGATGCATACTTGCAAAAACAGAATATTCAAGGATATAATCTTTCAATATAGGGTAATAACTGCTTGATCCAAGAATAAATCTGACTGCCATTCTGGGGTCAAGAATGAATTTTTTTCCTAGCTTGTTGCAAAACTGTGCTTCAAGCTGGGTTTTTTGCCTTCTTTTGGATCAACAGCAAAAAACAAATGTGAGGAAGGCTGAACTTAAAGGACGCAAGTCTCTTTTCAGCTATGTAACTATGTAACATAGGGGCTGATGGAGCTGCAGCTCCAGACCCAAGTCCATGAAATAGGCCCATTGATTTAAAAACATTTTTTATTTTTTATTTTTTAACACTACTCTTAGAGTTGCCAGGTATTTCTCAGGTATTTGAGGCTGCCTAGCCGGTGCCGGTATTGCAGTAATAGCAATACAAATGTCAGTCTCAGTATGAACAGAGATTATTCTGAAATACCAGTGCTGGTCGCTGTGTGTGTGGAGAGAGGCAGGGATAAGAAGTTACAGCATCTCCCACCCTCTACTCAATGATCCGCAGGGGAGCAGCTCTGCATAGAGAGTCCACACAGCAGCTCCGAGAATGCAGAGACAGCTAACAGCTCAGGTAAGTGAGGGATGGGAGGAAAGGCTGCAGGGAGCCATGGGAACACATACACTAGGGGATACTAGGGTACACTGAGACACTAGGGGACACTTTGAGACATGGGGACACTGAGACACTAGGGGACACTGGGAGACATAGGAACACTGAGACACTAGGGGGCACTGGGAGAGCTGGGGACACATACACTAGGGGAAACTGTGAGACATAGGGACACTTGGTGACACTAGGGGGCACTTGGAGACCTGGGGACACTGAGACACTAGGAGAAACTGTGAGACATAGGGACAGTGAGAGACTTGGGGACACTGAGACATTGAGACACTGGGGAACATGGGGACCCTGAGACACTAGGGACACAGTGGCCCCATGTCCCCCAGTGCCCCCTAGTGTCTCAGTGTTCCTATGTCTCCCAGTGTCCCCTAGTGTCTCAGTGTCCCATGTCTCCTGGTGTCTCTGTGTCCCCATGTCTCCCAGTGTCCCTGGTGTCTCTGTGTCCCCATGTCTCCAAGTGTCCCTGGGGGTCTCTCAGTGTCCTAGTGTATATGTCCCTAATCTCCCAGAGTCCCCTAGTCTCTCAGTATCCCCATGTATCTGTGACCCCATGTCTCTCCCAGTCACACTGGGAGACATGGGGACACAGACTCTAAGGGACACTGGGAGACCTGGGGATACAAACACTAGGAGACACTGGGTGACATGGGGACACTGAGAGACATGGGGACACTGAGAGACATGGGGACACTGGGGGACACAGGGAGACATTGGGCACTCCCAGTGTCCCCATGTCTCCCAGCCAGTGTCCCTAGTATCTCAGTGTTCCCGTGTCTCTCAGTGTTCATAGTGTACCAGTATCCCTAGTGTCTCACTGTTTCCTAGTCTCCCAGTGTCTCAGTGTTCCACTGTCTCCCAGTGTTCCTATGTCTCCCAGTGTCTCAGTGTCCCCTAGTATAAAATAAACAAATCTCAGGCATCCACTGTGATAGATCTAGGCAGGTTTATTGGACACCACAACATTCTGACCTGTACCCAGGTCTTTAACAAGTCTCCAGTGTCCCTTATGTATCACAGTGTCTCAGTGCCCAATGTCTTACAGTGTCCCCATGTGTCTCAAAGTCACCTAGTGTCCCCATGTCTCAGTGTCCCCAGGTCTCCCAGTGTTCCCTAGTATCTCAGTGTCCCAATGTCTCTCAATGTCCCCTAGAGTCCTAGTGACATGGTGACACTGAGAGACATGGGGACACAGACACCAAGGGACTGGGAGACATGGGGACAGAGATATGCCCCTTTTTTGGGTTTGTTCACCCCTTTTGATAGTTCTGGTTATGTGATTTGCGTCAGTGGCCCACACTTCTACCCTTTCCATAGACGTCATGCTTTACTGGACACTGCTGTTAGAGGGTATGGATTTACTTGAAAGATGAAAGCGTGGTTATGTGGTTTCTCATAGCTGCATCCTATGAGTTTCCCTCTAGCACAATCTCCATCAGATAAATGATGCTTGGGAGGTAGGACTGTGTTAGTGTTTTTGGTCGATAAGATTTTGTAATTAGGCCCATCATAATTGTCAGCACCAGGCCCACTGGACTCTTAATCT